ATCTGCTTGACCCTCGAATTCGACGGAAGAGTTGAGTATATATATATATATATATATATATATATATATATATATATATATATATATATATATATATATATATATATATATATAAAGGCACGCGACTAATTTGTTAGAACGTTCCCATTCTGAGCGTGTGACTCAGGTTCGAATCTCCCAGCGTGCGGCACCTTTGGAAAACCATACTACAGTCGACCCAAGTCTTGTGAGTGAAATTTGATAGACAGAACCCTTGGTAGCATGAAGTCACAAGGCATGGTGGCCTTGTTCAAATTGTTGATCACGCTAGATAACACGCTCTGCTCACCATAGTTGCAGTATAAAACAGTGGATCTTGTATAAACACAAATGCTCCTGAGTAAACCTCTACAATAGAGATGGGCTAGCCGCCCTAGTAGACGGCTATCCTTGAATACGAGTCACCAGCTATACATATATATATTATATATTCACTTATTACAAATCTTTCAGAGCTTTAATTATCATTAACACATTTAAACATATATCTTTACACATGTACATAGGCACAAACACACAAAACATATATAAAAAAATGTTGTATACCAATTACCATGTTCGTTATAAAATTGTATCTTTGTGGATAATACAAAAAAAAAACTTAATTATATATAGGTTTTGCTATCGCATTTCTTTCTGAACAGAACGCAATACGCAAACAGCAAATGTGCAACGTGCATCTTCCAATTTCAGTTAAATTGATTGAGAATACAATGTGTCTTCCAATTTAATTATAAAAAAAAGCAATTGCAAGTCCTGGAATCTCTTTGTTAAATGAAGGAAAACCACTACCAATAAGATTTGTTTTAATCTAGGCGCTTACATGTTAAAATACTTTAGAGTTTTCAACATTTCATAGTAAGAACACCTAAATCCGCCAACACTATAAACACCATACATGCTATGATTGAAATTTCAATTTTTTTCCTTGACAAGGACAAACGGTGGTTAAACATACCCGAAACTCAACATTTAATTTCCTCAAAATTCTTTTACACATTTACACTTGAAATTATAGTAGGGTTATAGATTTTACTTTAAAAAAAAAACATATTTGGCAATTAGAATAAACAGGATTTATATATATATATATATATATATATATATATATATATATATATATATATATGGAAAAGAAAAATATATTTTGAGTTGTGAAGATTTACTTTTTAATTAAAGGGAGTATACTTGTTCTTATTTAACAAAATAAAAATAAATATTAATTTATATTAAAAATAAAAGGAATATTTTTACATTAAAAATAAACCGTAATTTGCATTAAAAATTAATCTGGATCGTATTTAAGCAGATACTTATTTTTATGCCTACATGTAACAATAAGCTCGGGTTATTTAAGTGTTTTAAGATAACTAGGTTTTCAACAAAACATAAGTTACATTTATTTCCATTCCGTAATATGAGTTGCCGCTTAATGGAAGGGGATCTGCCATCATTCTTTAATTCCCAGAAATATGTAGATAGAGCAATGCTGTACTATTTACATTATTCGGACTATTGTCCTCATCTTCATCGCCATATATATCACCTGTTAATTTCCCTCTGAAAGTTCTCCACTTCAGTTATCTCCTGTTAAAAACATCTCCACTGCCTTAAACGGGTATTGAACTGACACTCTTTGGGTCCTGTGACTGGATCTATCTAACGCCTATATCCACTGTTCCATGTGTCCTTGGAGAGGGGAATTAACAGGAGCAAACTGACATCCATTAAACATGGCACGTGGAACTAGAACAGTCTACCACAGTGAGCGAAATAAAGGGTTTAGTTCGACATTCCAACAACCAGAAGAAAGCCGGAGTTTACAACGGCCGAAACGTTGTAATAAATATGGTGAAAAAGATGAGGACAATAGTTTGAATAATGTAAATAATGTACATAATACCTCATATCAGAAATATAGAGATACACAGAACTGCTGTTTCTGTATTTTATATTATTTAAATCCATTCGATGATGGTAGAAACGAAATTTCCAAGGATTTCAGTAGAAGCAAAATAAAACTTAACATCGTTACCGGAATGTATGTTCGCTCGGCATATAATATTATCGGTCATACACTGACCATTTAAAGGACAGATCGTATTTTTACGGCAATTGCATTTATTTTTTATAAAAAGTTACTTTGTTTTTGTTGGAAATATGTTTGTTTAATATAATGTTGTTATGATGGGATATGGATCTATCTATGTTATTAAAAAAACTATAGCCGATCTTAACGTTATTTTTGTTAAAAATCTTTTTTTAGTGTTGTGAATGGTTAATGTACGTATAAATTAAATTTACAAAAAATCTCCCGATATTAGTTTGGTTATGACGTGGATTAAACTATATGATATTGCGCTTACGGTGTTTCTGTTAATTTTTAACTGCTTTGTTTTTTTTTTTTAAATTTACTTTATGATTGCTTATTTCTTAAGCCTTTATATGTTTAATTTTAATCTAATCCAAAATTTCCTTATAGCTGGAGTTGGTAGATGATCTAATGTGGACAGATTTATGTAAACTATATAAAATTTTATGATGGGCGTTTGATTCTTAACTGATGTATGTATTGTCGAGCAATTCTTGTTATTTTTATACTCCTTTGCAGAGGTTCAATTACTCCTGAACTATCGAAGAGATCAGCGTCGACCGTCAGAAGAGTACGTGCGATGCGGTCAATAAAATGTTAGTCGCGTACGGTCGGTTTCCACCGGATTATTAGACACACATACATACATATATATATATATATATATATATATATATATATATATATATATATATATACTTGACTCTCCCGTCGAATTCGACGTATGAGGGTCAAACAGATCTGTTCCTCGGAAACCGACAGCCCGATTTGATTATAGTGGTGAAGGTTTCGTGCAGGACCATCCACACTTTTTGTAGGGCCGAATACAGAGACCTGGTGCACTACGTGTCACAAGGTTCCCAAACGACCCTCCTGAGGTTTTGAATTCAGAGTTGTCCTTTTCCTAGACGAGTTGCCATCCAAGGCTATAGAACCCAGTCTGTCCTGATATTTACCCATAGCTGGAGGGAGAAGAAGAGGATTCACACCTTTCCTAAGCACGTGAGTGAATGTAATGGATTCGACTGGAATTCGAACTCGGCTCTCCGATTCCTCAAACCAAGGCTCTATCCATTACTCCACCTCCTGTATATATATATATATATATATATGTAATGGACTATTGTGGAGAAGTAAGGGAAAGACATTTCATTTGTGATTTCTAAAGTGCGATACTAACCCAGCCTTGCAATGATGGAATTTGTTCAAGCAGGATTTTGATGGTGTCTCTGCTTCAGAGCTTGACGTAGCTGATTACGGTGCTTCAGTCTACTGTCTTCAAATCCCTTTAACAATGAAGGGTTTCTTAAGCTTCTCCTTTTGGTTTGATGGTTGGACTTCCCAGGTTTTCAGATCAAAGTTACGTATATATAAAATATATTCAGTCTTTATTTAAATAATTCTAAGATGTGCTCTGAGAAATATATAGCCTATAAAATTTCAAATATTAACCAAAGAACATAAATAAGATGAGATATAAAGAGAAGTACTTTTTCGTTGCTTGTTTATTTATGTGTTAATGATGTCGAAAGCAGCCGATCTCACCGGAAATAAATAAGCCGGGAATGTCGTTTTTTATAAATAGAAGAGCTGTAATCGCTTCACTGCGCAAAGCTTGAACAGATCTACAAGGATTTTGCGTAATGTGTTGCAGACTATGGCACTAATAATTTTAATAACGTTTTCTTTCCTCATATTAATCCACACTCAGTAACCTCTTATAATGGCTTTATTTATTAAAAAAATCTAGAAAAAAAACCCCATTAAAGCCGTCTATATTGGCCGACGAAAAATGTTTTTGCGTTATTGGAGAGACGTCAAAAGGTTAATTATTCTTTGAGAGTCTTGAAATTAAAGCTGATCTTCATGAGGCTGAATGAAGACCCCAGCAAATACGCAATGAATCAAGCAACAACGTGTTTCGGGGCAGGAAAAAAACTCTCGCTTTGACTGATGCCCAAAAGAAAATGGGTGCACTAAGGTTGGTTGGTTGTTTTGTTTTATGGCATATCAACCTCAGTGGATCATTTAATGCCATCAAAATTTTGAAATAGATTCATAGCGATAGTTTGGTTTGGTCTGTTTTACGGCATATCAACCTCAATTGGTTATTTAATGCCGACAAAATTTTTTTTCCTGTTAATATTTTTTTCCTTCGCAAATCTGTTTTTGGTAATATTTTTTCTTCAAAAATATATTGCTTTTACAAAAAGTATTTCTGGTATTAAAATCTATTTTGACACCTTCATAGTGTTTTGACCCCAACTTGTGGGTTAACTATTGCCCATAGCTGGGACCCTAACAGGTGCTACCACCTCAGGTCAGATTGTAGCTGGGAACACCAGCAATTAAGAGGTGGTTCCACGCTCCTCAAAACTGATCAGAGGCCTTGCTGTTGGATATAGTTTATCGTCTTACCCAGGAGGCGGATGTAGTTTATCGTCATAACGAGGGCAGGGGTGCACTAAGGAAGAGTAGAAATAAATAACTAAAACTAAGTAGATATCTGACGCGAAATTTAATTTAGACGGTATCGATGGAATGGAATATTACTGACAGGGGGGTATAGGTCTTTTTTTTTTATTTCACTGATCCATTTGGCGAAGTATCACAACTGGTAATAATGGAATTCAAGCAAAAATGCTCAGTCTTCCATTTCCCATTATGGAAGAAAATTCCAACAAAAAGGAATTCCTTTTTCATTGCTCGGGCCACCAAGAAATGGTTTGTACAGAAATGGTAGAACAAGAATAGAACTTGCTTGATTTATTTCAATAGCTGCCAATTAGCAAAGAATTTTAAAAGACAGCTTATACTGACGCATAAAAATTGCTGTGATTTTTCATTATCATTCATTACAAATCTCGCTTACAGCCACATCACGTTGTAAAACTGGTTCTCGTACGATCACTGAAGTTAAGCAATGTCGAGCCTGGTCAGTATCTGAGTGAGTGACCACCTGGGAATACCAGGTGTTTTATCCTTAGATATGCGATTGGTGTAATGGATAAGGGTTGGGAATCATTAATGGGAGGGCCGAGTCCCAATTCAAATTGGCTTTGTCATATTCACTTCCTTGCAAATACCCATAGGAAATGCATGAAGGCACCTCTTCTCCCCAGCTATGAGTTAATTAGCAAAATTTGTATCGCTAAAACAATTTAATCTCGTACAAAAATTATATTTTTTATACGTGACTTTCGCTTGATTTCGCAATTAGTTTCAATTATACCCAAATTTATTTCCAAGTTTTGTTATGGTCCCAGAAAATACGACGCAAAAACTCACGTAAAAACAATCGCAATAATGAAAACTTGGGAACCTAAAATTTCAAGATTGCGGGTCTGGATCGGGATCCTGTCAGGAAGTGTTTTAATTTGTTTACAGAGTCGACCTGATTTCAAAATCTTATGGCATTTTACGCTACGGCCTCTTGGAATAAAGTGGAAAAATTGTGATACACTGACATTCGCATCTATTTATATAGATGGACTTTTGTACTAGTTTTGATGTGAGTATATATATATATATATATATATATATATATATATATATATATATATATATATATATATATATATACGGTTGTATGGATAAGTGTTTGTGACGCTGTTTCAAGATCACGAAAGCGTGTAACCTAAGCGTGAAACAAACAACTATCCATGCAATCGCATATTTTAGCTGTATCACGGATATTAAGCACTTTCTACTAAATACCGAACACACAACCCCATACATACATACATATATATATATATATATATATATATATATATATATATAATTGTTGGTGTATGTATGAGCTATTAATGTATAGTTCCTCATAAACTAACTTTTTTTGGTTACTTAGAATGTTAGTATTGCGTGATACACATGAAAGAATATTACCGATTTTTTTAATTGACATCTTTGCAATCTGGTCAGTGTGAATGTCTCAACAAAAGGAACGTTCTTTTCGAAAGCCATCAAACCTGACCCAATCTTCCATTTTGTCATCCATATGTGTGTGTGTGTGTGTGTGTGTGTGTGTGCACGTGTGTATTTGAATACACACACACACATGTATATATATATATATATATATATATATATATATATATATATATATATATACATTATTCGGACTATTGTCCTTATCTTTGTCGCCATATTTGTTCCAAAGTTTCGACGTTGTACGCTCTGGCCTTCTTCAGGTAGTTGGAGTGTCGAATTGAACCCTTTATTTCGCTCAATGGGGTAGACTGTTCTAGTTCCACGTGCCATGTCTGATGGATGTCAGTTATCACTTGTTTAATTTCCTCTCCAAGTTTTCCCCTGCCTTAACTAGGTAATGAACTTACACTCTTTGGGTTCTGTCACATGGCACAGTTGATATAAGCGTTAGTTATATCCAGTGACAGGACCCAAATATTTCGTTGAATGACAGACATTGAATTCTGATTATCGCTTCACATGTCACTCATCTGACCAAAAGGCCTTAAAAAGGCGTTTGGCAACCCAAAATTTACATTGAGCAATAAAGATGATTCTAATTGATAACTCTAGGATCGTATATAAGTACGTTACTGAAAATATCTCGCTGCGTGAGTGGAGCTTTGCATAAAACTTTTGGCACTCAGTATAAATCTAGCTTTATTCAGTAACGAAAATTTTGCGGAGACTATTTTTTAAACACGCGGGTCTTGAAATAAATCCACTACTACTTAGACACCACAAAACTATTGTTTAAACAAATATGAATATGAATTAACAAATCATAACAACAAAACAACCTTGAGAAATAGATAAAAAAAATGGGAAAGTGCTTGGAACAATAGACACTCCTTTACTTCCACCGAACGGAAAAATATAAGAGTATTAGAAAAACTAAATAGTATATATATATATATATATATATGCATGTAAAATGAGAGCGAACAGATTCCAATTCCGACGTTCGTAACATTCAATTTAAAAGAGGACTAGAATACAAAAGTAAAGCAATATTCTTTATGTTAGGATGTGATATCAAAAACATGTAAAAAAAAACTTACTTTGAACTTAGCGTCAGCCCTTCCGATTGGTTGATCAGAATAAAAACAAAACCAACCCTGCAACCCATCTTCACTCTTTTCTTCCTTACCTTTTCTCTTATTCTTCCATTTCTCATGAAAAGAGGCTGTATGTTGTGTCTCTCTTTCTTACTCTTTTTCTTTTCTTCCTTTTCTTGTGATAAGAGGTTGTATCATGTTTTTAAATCTCAATTAATTTTCTAATCACCAGTTATATACAAACGCCTGATGAGATGTATTAATACACAACCAAACATGATTGCATTTGTGTAGCGATTTTTTACATGCCCCTAGAATATACAAAAGAAATATATATATATATATATATATATATATATATATATATATATAAAGAAATATAGTTTTAAGGTGTGCTATATTTATGGAATAAAGTGCTCAATATCAGAGATAGAACTTCTATGTTCACTTTTATATATATATATATATATATATAATAAAAAGCCTTAAACACTAATATTTTTTATTATATCCTTACTCTGTCCTGGACATTGTGTTCTACCTGGATTCTATCCTCTTGGAATTTTTTTATTCAAAAATATATATGTATGTGTATGCATCTGTGTATATATATTTATATATTTTGCATATGTATGTGTATATTTACCACTAATATTATCTACATCTATCTATCTATATATATATATAATATATATATATTGAACAATAAGAAAATAAAAAATTAAAATCTTTAGACACACTGGGTTGTAGATTAATATTCTTTCGTTTTTTTTTTATTATTATTCCATTTAGATTCCTCGACTAGTTTCGACCGAAATTGCCATCATCGGGAGGAGAAATATTTCTGCTTGCTGGTAGCAGTAAACTAGTGAAATGAATGTCTTGATGGAGAAAATGAACTTTTGTCTGTAGTTTTCATTTGTTTTTTTATTTTTTTATCTTTTTAACATGAATCTTTTAACATTCCTTGTGTTGGTCAAACAGTCTCTTTTAAGTTGTTATTTGAGATAAGAGCTGGATAGATACATTTTGTCCTGAATTCTCTGGTCAGTTTGACAGTTTTATTGGACCTGGTGAGGGGATGTGTCTCTGTTTAGTGTTTGTGTGTGTGTTATTTGGTTCTTAGGGAGTGAGTGAGTATGATATGTGTAAGCGTGTGTATTGCTGTAGGTGTGTGTTATCATTTGGCTCATTAGGGAGTGAGTGAGTATGGTGTGCGTACGTGTGTATAATCGTGTGGGTGAGTGTATAAGTGTGAGGCCTCCATTCCTCCTTAAGCATGTCTGTCTTGTGTGGGTGAGAAATGTGGGTAGGTTTTGATTTGTTGACTATCTATATATTGTTAAATTTATGATTTAGCCCGGCTGGGTATTGTGTTTTTAGACGTTGTATCCACTTATTTTCATGGGACTCTAAAATCTTTCTAATGTTATCTGCTCTGAACTTTTCTATTCTCTCAATTATAGTGAATTTGGCATGGGTTTTGAAATCATGTTTTTCCAGGCGGAAATGTTGTTCTACAGGTAATAATTTTTCATGGGGAGTCGATTTAATTCGCTTACGATAATTATTAATTCTGTAGTGAACGGGCCATTCAGATTTTCCTACATATTGTTTCTGGCATAGTGTGCATTCTAGGAGGTAAATTATGTTATGACTTCTACAGTTAGAATCGAGGTAGATTTTGAAAGTAGATTTAGTGATTGAGCTAGTGAATGAATTCGTGTTTTTAATATGGTTGCAACATAAATTTCTTGTTGCTTTTGTTCTTAGTTCATTATGGATTACCTTGTCCCCTGAAATGTGGTTACTACCTATGATTTCGTTTAGGTTCTTAGGTCTACGATATGCAAGAAGGCCGGGTTCCTTAAGCAGTTTTTTTAGGTCTGGTTTGAGATGTAGTATTTCCCAGCGACGTTTGATTATTTGGGATAGTGGAGGCAGAGTGGGATTGAAATTGGTTACTAGAGGGATGCGGCTAGATTTATTTTTAATCTTGTACATTAGTGTGCCTTCTCTATGTGTAGAAATTGCTTTATTTAATTGTTCCCTGATTAGGTGTTGTTTATAGCCACGTGTTGTGAATGCTCCAGATTTTCAATGTGTTTATTTAATTCTTCATTGTTGGAACATATCCTTCTGAGTATAAGTGCTTGTGAATAGGGAAGGTTCTCTTTGAGGTGTTTAGGGTGGGAAGACTTAAAGTGTAGATAGTTGTGGGTGTCGGTTATTTTAGTGTGTAGTGTCGTTTGTAGTTTCCTGTTTTCATCTATGTAAATGCGGGTGTCTAAAATGTTACTGATGTTGTGTTTTTATATATATATATATATATATATATATATATATATATATATATATATATATATATATATATATATATATATATATCTCTGTATGTGTATGTATCTCACAGATATTTATAGTAAATAGCTATTAGAGGGAAAATTCAATGTGAAGATTAGAAAGAGGAATTCTTACATCTTTTGATGCAACTATATTGGCATGAAATTTTAAAGTCTATGTTAAAACTGTCGCTAATTTCTTGAGTTATATCTGGGAAGTATTTTAATAGAGAATAGAAAATGCAACATCAATATCTAAGCAAAGATTTGAATGACACAAGATGCATTTCAAAATTTAAATAAAGTTCTCCGAAACAGAAATTCACGTTAGGAACAAAGAAGTGAATGCTTCTCAATTGCTATGTATTATCAATCTTTCTATACGGCAGCGACATGCCGGACAATTTCAACATAGATGATAAAAAGACTGAAGACAACAGAAATGTGGTTCTACAGAAGACTGCTGAGAAAGCCAGACTGAAGTCTTAAGGAAAATGGAAAAAAAATAAATCAGAATCAGAGGCAGCTTAGATTTTTTAGACACGTAACGAGGAATGTAGGTTTGGAGAATTTGACACCCGAAAATACAGAGAAAACAGAGAAAT